GATACCTGAAATTTTTTATTTCACATTATGCAATAAATAACAAATTTTAAATTCAAATTCAAACTTAATCAATTTAAAAATGAAAAATAAATTCTATTATATGCAGGTCACTCCTGTTATGAGAACAACTCGTTATCAGGTAGGTCTTATGTAATTGGCATAAATAAACAAACTTAGCAACTTTATATTATAATCATGCGACACAATCAGTTTATCGTTTATTTTTTAGTGTTTACATAATAAGTTACATAATAATAAGAATTTATCAAGTAGGTCCTATGTAATCAATCACTGGCAGAAATAAACAAACTTATTTATATTATAATCATGTGATACAATCAGTTTATCGTTTAATAATATATTTGAATTAAAAAAAAAAAATTATTTCTGCCAGTAACACGTCGGACCTACCTGTTAATTCATTTATCAGGTAGGTATCAGATACCTATACTTCTTATAGGCAATATCCTTTTTTCACGTACCTTTCGGATACGTGAAAAACATATTGACATACAGATCAGGTACCCGATGACAAGAACATAACTCAATACAAATGAAGTTTGTTTACTGAGTGTTAATGGGCAAGCCCATCATCAACCAGGTGAAACAACAACAAACAACGATGTATTGCAACATAGGTGATAGGAAATATCAAAGAAATCGTAATACATGGAATTTACCTTTTCCCCCACACGTTCTTATAATTTTCTTCCAATAATAAAAAAATAAAAATAAAAATAAAAGCAACCAACTAAATACAAAGTACCAATTAACAATCCGTTAATAAGTCCTCTCAATGAAGTAGAAGCATTCAAGCAGATTTTGACAAGGCACTGCTAATACAATCATGATTGGAGCTATTTTCCACATACGTTCTACAAGGAATATGACTTTCTTCAGTTCCCTTGGCTGCTTCTCCAGTATCCATGTTATTTTTCATTGTATTATTTAACTTTCTTATTGATTCATAGAGTTCTTCAAATGATGGTTCCTTATCATAATCTTTAGGTGGGTTATCAATACTATTATTGTCCAACCTTCCTTTTTTATTTAAATTTTCATGTGAATCAAAAGATTTATTATTTTTACTACCATTACCACCATTATTATCTATTATCGATAAAGAAGGTGTCACTAATGATGTAGAAGCATTAAGACTTAATTGTTTGATGCTTGGTTGAGAGATTGTCGATAGTTGAGTTTGTTGAGGTATGGAAACATTATTATTGTTTGTTGATTGCTGTTGAGGTTGTTGAACAACTGTTCTTTGATTGACCTGACTTTGTGCGTGTATTGGTAAATTAGGAGGAGTGGGAGCTATAATTGAACGAGAATTTAATCGAATATTTAAGGTTAGTCTGACATATGATGCAGTATGATTACGAGCAACATCAACAAGTGTATTTGTAAAATTCATAGTATTTTGGTTATTATTATTCGGAGAATGTATGATAGTAGGTCTTTGTATCAGTTATTGTGGTAGTTGTTGTTGCGGTTGTTTTTGTTGAGATTGGGTCATTTGATTTAATTATCGTTGAGTTATAAGATTATCCATTGTTTGAGGGGAAAATGATGATGTTAGTATGAGTTTTTATTGTTAGGCGCCTGTTCTTGCATATATATATCCTCCAAATAATGAAATTTTCAAACCTTTATGCTTATAACTTTTGATAGAAAATTTAAAATAAACAATCCGGCTGTAAGAATTATTTCTTGGCTTCTGAACAGCGTATAATTCAGTGTGTGCGTACGGTGCTAACTAGTGTTGTTTTCCAAACTAAAGAATTTTATAACTATGCAAAAGTCAAAAGGTTTCGCCATAAGTCGAAATTAATTTGACTTTTGACATATGACTTCTAATTTTAGTTGACTCTCACCTCTCAAAATATTTTGGCGACCAACACTAGTGCCAACCAAAATTTAATCAATTATTTTGGGAAGTTCTGCCAATAATTATCAAATTTGGTTAGCACAGATTCCTCAATTAATTATGACTAGTTTCAACTATAAAAATTGAATTACGGTTGAATTGCGGCTAATCACGGTTCCCATCTTTACACAGCACATTTCGCGCATTGAATATCTGTTTTCTCTGCCCTCCATACGTTCTATTCCCTTTCAATACTGATCAACAAAAAAAAGAACATTACCTGTTTTATTTCTTCGTCCTCTTTTTTTCGAATTCCAATTTCTATCGCATTGGCGACTATTTTTATAACATCTTTCGCAAGGATCTTTTTCGTTGCATTTTTGCTTCGCTTTTTTACATTCTAAACAGCTTTTTTTATTTTTAATATAAGGACCTCTTTCCATCACTGACAAAAAAATAAATTTAACAATTGTTAAATGTTGATGTTTTACTCGTGTTTGTAAAGTAGGCTATATATGTTTTCAAATGTAGTTGTACGAAAAAAAATAAAAATAAAAAATTTCCTGTTGAATACGTAATAAATTATCGGAATTTTTTCAATTGGACGGTTATTCGTATTTGAATATAATGTCAACTCACCGTTGATTGATTATGATAAGAGATACTATTATCAGTAATTATTCTATTAATAACAATAAATTATGTTGCCTTCATGATATAAAAGGTATTTCTAGTTACTCTATAGCGGAATTTTTTTCAATTGGTAAACAAAATTGCGATTGTGTGTTTCATCAGTGTGTCTTCGTGTAATGGATAATATTTTCTTTGTAGACAGATTTAGTTAATTTTGTTCATTTTATAATAAAATAATAATAACTTTAAAGATTATCATCAATATTGATTTTTGAATTAAAAATTAGCCAACTATACTTTTTCATTGAATTCTTCTCCATCATTCGTCCATTCATCCATCCATATATTTACCGATTGATTCATATATATTCTTGTTAGAATCAAAAAGACTTATAAACATAATAATAATAATAAATTAATCTCTAAAATTATCAAAAAATTGTGTATTTACAGTTCACATCAACGACCTTACTGGTTTATAGAGAGAAGTGTATTTATCGAATTTGGTGTAACAAATAAAATATGGGGGTTAATATCCAAGATTTTAATATATAGATTAAATTGTGGTTTGTTTAGAACAAGGCCATTCAAACTTGAAGTCTCGTTTAACATCAACCTCTCCCCCCCCCCTTCTCATTTTTTTAGAAATTTTGAATTTAAACTAATCCTTTGATCGTCAAAAAGCTTCCAAAAAAAGTAATTTTACATATTTTTTATCAAACGTTTAAACGTTTAAATTTTAATGTTTAAATTTTTATCCCATATTTTTTTCAAAAAATGATGTTAAACAGATTTCTAAATTTGAACAGCCCAATGAAATAATAAAAATGAAATTGTGGTTGGAATAATGAAATGTTAAAAAAATAAAATGAAATCATGTTTTATTTAATATAGAATATGAAATATTAAAAAAAATATTAAAAAGACAAAGTGCGTTTAAAACTGCTGTTCTTTAAATACTTGCTGAGCAATTCCAAACTCCAACCCTTTGTGAAACATTTATAAAAATATCCATCATATTCATATTTCTATTTATGATAATAACAGACTATGGTTGATTTTATTGGGTATAAAATAAGTTTTGATATATTGCCAAAATTAGAAAATTTCAGGAAAAATCAAGATTTTTATATGGATGAGTAACGTTGATCATAGCGAAAAAAAAATTTGTGTAAATATAGAGCATAACCACTATAGTGGCAATCATCTAAAGACATCATCAAATATTGCCAATCTTTAAGTGCTGATACTTTATTAAATATGGGCTATTTTACCAAAAACTCTCTATTTTTGCAATATTCTA